ACCTCATCAGTGAATTAATGAGGCTTGGTGTTCAGCCTCACCTCGAGCCCCAACGAATGCCAATTTCTGTTTTAGTCAGCTTTTTTTTTGCTGCTGTGACTAAAGGATCTAACTAGCATAATCAAAGGGGAGGAAAGTTTATTTGAGGGCTCACAGTTTCAGAGATCTTAGTCCAAAAAAGCTAGCTCCTTTCCTCAGGGCTCCAGGTGAGACTGATCATGGCGGGAGAGGGTGGTGGAGGAAAGCAGCTCACATCATGGTGATCAAGAAGCAGAGAAAGAGACTCCGCTCTCCACCAAATATATACACCAAAGCCATGCCCCCAATTAACCACTTCCTCCAACCACACCCCACCTGCCTCTAGTCACCACTTAATCCCATCAGGAATTAATTCACCGATTAGGGCTCACAATCCAATCATTTCTTCTCTGAAACTTCTTGCATTGTCTCACAGGTGAGTTTTCGGGGACACCTCACATTCAAACCATAACAGCCAACCTCAGCAACATGGCAAGGCACTTACCAACTCAGCAAGCCACCGTCTCTAAATAAAATATTTTTTAAAATGGCCAATCCCTGGTACAAAACAAAAAAACAAACAAAAAAAATCACTGGTGGGTTAAACACCTGCATGCAAGTTTTTGTAAGTGAAGTTTTATATTTCAGTTGTTTAACAAAAACCTGTCAGAGATTTCAAAGTCGTATTTGAGTATCTTATTAGAACTCATAGAAATTATTAGAATTCTATTTGTTTATGATATGTGATTATTTTACAATATTCTATATTATGGGGCTATTAAGTGTTATATAGAATATGATCTTAAATAATTGGCAAAGCAGGGAATTAAGGTACTTTGAATGACCTGAAGTTAAAAAACAGTATCTATTTTTCATGGCTGAACTTACCCTATGTTATCACAAATGGCACCTGGTGGCATGTGATATTTCAGCTCAGCTCTTCCTTAAGATGTTTTAAAACATTCTCTGAATGTTTTAAAAATAAACTTTTTATTTCAGAACAGTTTTAGATTTACAGAAAAATTGTAAAAAGTACACAGAATTCCCATAAACTCCATGCCTCTTCCCCTATTATAAACACCTTACCTTAATTAGTATGGTAACTGTTCACAATTAATAAGCTAATGTTGACACATTAGCTGAAGCCTATCCTTTAGTTTATTCTCTGTTCAGATTCCCTTAGTTTTCACCACCTATTCTTTTCCATTCTAGGGTCCCACCCAGGATACCACATTATAGTTAGTCTGTGTCTCTTGACATTCCTCTCGGCTATGTCAGTTTCTGAGCATTGCCTTGTTTTTGAAGACCTTGACAATTTAGAGAAGTGCTGATCAGATATTTTGTAGAATTTCTGTCTCTCAGTTAAAATTTGACTAATAGTCTTCTCATGATTACACTGGGGTTATGAGTTTTGGAGGGAAGACAGGCATTTAAATTACTTCAATCTGAAGTCATGCCACTGAAGTCATAATTCTCTGGTATAAAAAAATAAAAGCCTTTAGGCTTGAAGCAGCTTTGTCCACAGTGGACATCTCACAGCTGAGAAAGTGTTGTGTTTTTTTTAAATTAATTGTTTAATTTATATGTGTCAGCAGAATGCATTACAATTCATATTACACATATAGAGCACAATTTTTCATATCTCTGGTTGTATATTTACACCAATTCGTGTCTTCATACATGTACTTTGGATAATGATGTCCATCACATTCCACCATCCTTGCTAATCCCCTTACTCCTCCCTTGCCCTCCCACTCCTCTTCACTATCTAGAGTTCGTCTATTCCTCCCATGCTCCCTCTCCCTACCCCACTATGAATCAGCCTCCTTATATCAGAGAAAACATTCAGCATTTGGTTTTTTGGGATTGGCTAACTTCACTTAACATTATCTTCTCTGACTCCATCCATTTACCTGCAAATGCCATGATTTTATTCTCTTTTATTGCTGAGTAATATTCCGTTGTGTATATATGCCATTTATCCATTCATCTACTGATGGGCATCTAGGTTGGTTCCACAGTTTAGCTATTGTGAACTGAGTTGCTATAAACATTGTTTTGACTGCATCACTGTAGTAGGCTGTTTTTAAGTCCTTTGGGTATAGACCGAGGAGAGGGATAGCTGGGTCAAATGGTGGTTCCATTCCCAGTTTTCCAAGGAATCTCCACACTGCTTTCCATATTGGCTGCACCAATTCTCAGTCCCACCAGCAATGTATGAATGTGCCTTTTTCCCCACATCCTTGCCAATACTTATTGTTGCTTATATTATAATAGCTGCATTCTGACTGGAATGAGATGAAATCTTAGAGTAGTTTTCTTAATACAAAGAGAATTTTCTAGTAGGTCTCTTCTCCCAGCAAGCTTAACTAATCCCAGCATGACACAGGGTGCCACAGGTGGCTCACTATCTTCTGGAAGACTTTCAACATCTAGTCTTCTAATGGAATTTACTGGGAATACTGTATGGAAACCCCCTTAGAGCAAATATGACTGAACTTCAGTAGATATCTGAAACCTCCATATTGTCCTGAGCATAAGCATATGAATAAGAACTGGGAGAAGAGGAGTCAGATTAATGGACTCTCTCTCCCACACTAATCACCTGCTGTTCTATGTGCATACTCTCAGGGACTTGGGAGGCTGAGGCCAGAGGTTCACAAGTTCAAGGCCAGTGTTGGCAACTTAGTGAGATCCTATCTCAAAATAAAAAATAAAAAGTAGCGGGGATGTAGCTGAGTGGTAAAGCATACCTAGGTTCAATCCCCAGCACCAGGGGAACAAAAGACATGGAATGACAACTCCAGTATCTAACCCCAAGTCATGCTGGGACAGGCCAATATTATAGCTCAGGAGAAGCAAATGTGAATTTGAGTTAAGAAACTGGAGGAATCTGAAATACTCCTCCCAAGAATTAACTACCCTATTCCATTTTCTACAAAGGCTATGCTGTTAAACATGAAAGAAGAAATGGTTTTTCAAAATATAATAAAATTATAAATGTTATGTAATACAAAGGTATATGTTCTATGTGCTGTTTGGTTTTTATTTTTTACAAAAATGACTTGATTTATGTGTATTTAGTTACTCAATCCCTTCATAATCCCATTGTAATCTTCCTGATTCTGTTCTATGTGGATATAATAATTGCTCATATTTAGTAAGAAGCTTTCTATGTTTTACACACTTTATCTCAGTTAATCCTGTCTGTTGTAAATACTCACTGTCCTGGTCTATAAATGAGGAAATGGAAGTTTAAGGAATTCAAATAACTTGCCAGAGGAGACACAGATAAAGTCAGGATTTGAACTCAAGGAATGGACCACCTGGCTTCAGAGGTTAAACTCTTTGTGTTAAGAAATTTATTTCAAAATATCTTCTGTGATGGGGCTGGAGTTGTAGCTCAGTGAGTGGTAAAAGTCTTGCCTAGCACGTGTGAGACACTGGGTCCGATCCTTAGTACCACATAAAAATAAATAAATAAAATAGAGGCATTGTTCCATCTACAACTAAAAATATTTTTTTAAAAAAGTCTTGTAGTTGTAGGTAGACAGCATGCCTTTATTTTATTTGTTTATTTCTATATGGTGCTGAGGATCAAACCCAGTGCCTCACATGTGCAAGGCAGGTGCTCTGCCACTGAGCTACAGCCCTAGCCCTAAAAATAATTTAAAAAAAAAATCTTAAGAACCATGTCTTTTTTTTTTTTTTTTTTTGGTACCAGGGTTAAAACCCCAGTAGTACTTAACCGCTGAGCCACACCTCCAGCCTTTTTTATTTTTTTATTTAAAGACAGGATCTCGCTAAGTTGCTTAGGCCCTTGCTAAGTTGCTGAGGCTGGCTTTGAATTTGTGATCCTCCTGCCTCAGCCTCTGGAACCCTGAGGATTATAGGCATGCATCACCAAGCCTGGAAAGAACCATGTCTTTTCTTAATGTTGAGGTCTCACAATTAATTTCTATCCACATGGTACTTATCTAGTAATAACTAAAAATAAGAAAGAGGAAGGTGTATTATTACAGCTGATTACCATTGTGAAGGTAAAAAACAAAATAGCCTCATTCAAATTGACCAACAGTAAGATAAGGGAAGAATAGCCATTCAACTGCCCTATTCCCTGAAGTACAGGGAGAGGAGCTTGATTTTCCAAGTTCTAAACCAGAGCACAGGAACAGAAGCTTGGAAGTATTATAATGCCAACAAATCAGGAGACATCAAAAGATGTTTTGCTTACCTTTCCAAAAAGAGAGGCCATGTTATATCTTAGGAGGCCAGATGGGAAAACACACAGGTCCTTCAGGAGCAGAGGGAGAGGGAAGAACTGCAGGTTTGAACCTTTATTGTGGTGTCCAAGGAATGCATGAGCAAGGCAGTATATGCTCGATTAGCTAGTTTGAACAGTTTCAGCAGGCCCTGTGGTATTTGGGCTTCCATCTTCATAAAAGGGCATATCCCACCCACACAGCAAGTTTAGGCCCATGGAGCATTGTAAAGAAGAGTTGCAACTCTTTCTCTTAAATCCATTTCATTGGCAAGCTACATCTGTACTCTAGTATTGCAAGCACACACACACATTTGCCTCAATGTGAGCTTAGCATCAGACACCACTCACTCCCACCCCCACCACATCACATATTCTCCAGAATCTCTGTTTAGCAGGTCCAAGTTGAAATGGCTTTTTGTTTTTCCCCATAAGTCTCAAAACACAATAAGACCAAAGTAGTACTAGACCTGCTTATTTTGACTTTACAGCATCCTTAGTACCAGAAGCAGTATTTTCAAATGCAACAGTACGGTTTTCTCGGGGATATGTTTTCTTCAGCGTCATGACACAATCAAACACCACATTCTCTCAGGTTCCAGCAAACACTTTATTCTCCTCATTAATGTCTCCAAACTGTTGGAAGCCAAAGCCTAAAAGAGTCCTTCAGCAATAAATGTAAAACGTTTCAAAGAAAAAGACGAAAAAATGTTGCAAGGGGATCTCTGTGTCTGTTGACTGAATTTCTGAGCATGTTTCTTTGGTGAAATCCCCAAACTTGAAAAATTAGGCGCAGAGTCGATAGAAATAAAAAAAGTAGTCTGTGAAGAATATCCCAGCAAAAAAAGGATCTGTTGAACAGTCAGCCAGATCCTATAAGAAAAGGAGAAAAGAAAGATGAATGTAAAAATTAACTGTGAAGTATTTTACTTATTTATTTAGGGATCAATTTCTTATTAAAAAGAGAAGAAGAAGAAGAAAAAAAGCAAGCTTACTGGTGCAGCCACACGGAAATGGTATGCGCTGTCAGAGAATGGGGCGACAGGGAGGCTCCAAATGTGCTGGTATCCCTAAATAATGAATGAGAGAGATCCATTTCATAACCACACTCCACACTGCACTAGAAGGAGCACAGCCCAAGGAGGCATTTCCTTAGCAACTGCAGGAGAGGTGTCTGCAATAACAGCTTTAGATAGGTGTCACTAAAACAGTCTGTAGCTTCTAAAGGACACAAAAAGGCTGAGCCAAGCCCTGTAACCAGGTTCAGTGTTGTCCCTCCCTCAGCAGGGAACAGAGGCCACAGTTCTAACCATCCTTCACTGGAACAAACTAATGTCAAGGAGTCAGAAAACATTACCTGTGTCATCTCCTGGAAGACTTCTCCTTGGTTTTGGAATCCTTTGGTTTCCCTTTTACTATTGAAGCATATATTTCCAAGGGTAAATTTGCACTGGAAGACTATCAATGGCTCTGTTGTGCTTCAAGACACAAAGGAAAGAGAGGACAATTGAAGAAGCAGTTTCCAGCTCCTATTAGATACAAAGAGGGCCCATTGGCTATGTAACTCAGAAATCCCTCTGAAGTTCACGATAGCCATTTTATTATACAAGGCTCAGGGATACTGATAGACTAGCTTACATCTCATTATTATAGAAAGCAAGCCACCTTCAGATAACTACTGAAACACCATATGATGGTTTGTAAAATCTAATGTCAAGACTGAGATTGCCTCACTTCAGAACAATATTTCCAGAGATTTTTAAATAATCTTTGGACATATCCCCTCTCTTCACACTTGCAGCTAAATTTACACTTACCCGAAGTGTCTAAGATTTTAGATTCTGCCAACTCCTGGTCTAGGTAGATATTATTTGAAATAACAAAGTAACAAACATAAGTAAGGATTTGGGGGTGAATCCCATGAGAAATTACCAGGTTTTAAAGTTATCCGAGTAGAAGCCCTGCAAGAAAGGATGGTTCCTCTCTAGAGACTGACTCATGAATCATCACTAAAAGGATGAGATCCATCCTTCTTTGGAAACAATACTTTTGCTCAAATGGGAACAATTTATAATCTCAGTTGAGTTTACAGTAATCCCCTCCCTTATCCATGGGGGGACAAATTCTAAGACCCTCAGTAGATGCCTGAAATTACAGACAGTAGTACCAAACCCTATGTATGACTGTTTTTTCTTACACATATACACATATGATCAAACTTAATTTATAAATTAGGCATAGTAAGAGATTAACAATAGTAGATAGCAATAATATAGAATAATCATAATAATATATTGTTTAAGTTTTATGAATTATTTATTTATAGAATTTTGTATTGAATAGTTTTTCACTGTGGTTGTTATGGTTTGATGTGAGTTATCCCCCAAAAGCTCACGTGTGGGACAATGCAAGAAGGCTTAGAGGAAAAACGATATGACAGCCTTAACCCAATCAGTGAATTAATCCCCTAACAGGGATTAACTGAGTGGTAACTGAAAGCAGGTGGGGTGTGGCTGGAGGAGGTGAGTCACTGGGGGTGTGCCTTTAAAGTAAATATTTTGTTTCTGGCCAGTGAACTCTCTCTCTGCTTCATGGTGGCCATGTCTGAATCCTCTTTCCTCTTCCACACTCTTCAACAATGATGTTCTGCCTCTGAATGGACTATGAACTGAGACCTCTGAAACCATGAGCCTCAAATAAACTTTTCCTCCTAAAATTGTTCTTGTCAGGTCTTTTAGTCACAGCAGTGAAAAAGCTGACTAAAACAGTGGTTGACCAAGGGTAACTGAAATTGTAGAATGAGAAACGGTGGATAAGGCAGGACTGTTATATGTGTTATTTTAAAAATGAACCATATTTTTTAAATGGTTCATAAGCCAAAAGGCCTGATTTAATGGCTCAAGGTGATCTTTTGCCATTTCAGAAGTTATAACATATAATCTTATTTCCTTCCTTGAAAGCTAGAAATGAGTAAGGAAATGCTATTCCAGGTTATTCAAGGAATGCTAGAGAATAGTACATTTAGCTTGTAAGAATGGTACATTTAGCTTGTAAGAATAGTACATTTAGCTCTCTCTCTCTCTCTCTCTCTCTCTCTCTCTCTCTCTCTCTCTCTCTGCCTTGAAAGATGGTGGATTCTGTCATGAAACATTGGCTGCTTGAAACAAATCTTTCCAAGGTAAGCAGCTGAACTGAGCCTCTTCACGTGGGCAAAGCAGATGAAAGATGGCATACAGTGAGACACACAGTGGGGCCCAAGTGAGACAGCGGGGCCATGGAGGATGATGGAGGGGGAAATAACTGAGGTAGGAGCAGGGCAGAGTAGGGAGGACAGAGGGACGATAAAGAGCGGGGCTAGGGGGACATGGAGGAGGAAAAAGGAGAGACTAAAATCAAGAGACATGATTTCTTCATGGCACAATTTTTGAGTGAAGTGAGCTGAAAATCAAAGTACCATAATTACTTAAAATATTAGATAAGAATAGGTTACACTAGAGTTCTGTGATTTTGAAGGAAAGGTAGATAATTAAAAGCTACCATTAATTGAGTGCTATGAGTGGTACTATGAGTCAGGAAAGGGCAATGCCCTTCCACATCTCCTCTCCCAGGGGAGGCAGGAGAGGGAGGGCTGTATTGGAAGCCCAGGCCAGCCACATACTAGCTGTGTTTTAGAGCACATTTTTTTTTTTAAATCTCCATACATCAAGAGTTCCCATCTATAAAACATAAACTGAAAAAATGCCATCCTGGGAGAACTGTTGTGAGGATTCTACGACCCAGGATTAACGCGTACAGTACCTGGCACACAGCCTGTGCTTACCAAATGGCAGCTGCTCACTACACCAGTATTAACCCTAATTCCCCCAGCAGCTCTATGTGCCATGGCATAATGCAGGACGCGTTTTATGGAGGAAGAAATAGTAGCTAAGAGAAAATAAGTAACTTTTCTAAGACCATAGGATTAGTGACAGCGACAGAATCTGAACCCTGGTCTGCCCAGTTCCAAACTCTGGCTCCTCTTTTATTCTCTCCTGTCCTGGAGCAAAGGGGTGGCACCTGCATTAATTAGCACTGCTACCAGGATCTCATCAAAATATGCAGCCCCCCCATTCAGGGGTCAAGTTATTACCATTGTTCCCACCCCAATCTGAAGAGAAATCAGCAGAAGTTTGCAGCTCATGAACTTGGAACTAAAGCTACTCCTGCCGCACAGGGGTGAGTATAGCCCTTACATTCCTGGAGGGACATGGATGTTCCCAGTTCTCATTCTGAAAACCCTCCCTCCACTTGCCACCTCTCCACCTATCATTAGTAAATGCTGACTGATGGCTTTCTATCTCCAAACTTATTGATTAAATTGTGAACTAAATTCAGACTTACTGTTCAAATTTGTATTTTATACCATGTACTTACTTGATTTCCAGAGAGAATTTGACATTGGTAGGTGTGTACTTATTAACAGGAATATTGTAATTATAATTTCCAGGTCTAAATATGAAAAAATTAAAACCACAAATCAAAATATGCAAGAAAGATGTTAAAAGGCTTTCTGCCACTCAATATTTATACGTAAACTGTGAAATATTATATAATAAATAATAAATATAGGCAATCGAGTTTAACCTGGTATAATGTTTTGATTTTCAGAGACTTGCTTGTCAAATTTCAGAATGATCTCGTTCATATCTTAATATTAAACATACTACAAAGATTATACTTTTTTAGATCATACAAGAAAAAAAATCAAATCCCGGACCAAATATTCAAAATTAAAAACAGAAGAAATAAATTCAGTCCCCATTACAGAGATACAGATTTCAGAAGACAAATGAGGCAAAGGCTTCAGACTCAGGGAAGGAGGACTGGGAATAATAAATACAATTTTAACCTTAAATCATTTCCTTTAAAACAATGAATATGTTTTTCAGCCTTATTTTTTTTTTAACCTGATAGAGTTTAAGTCAATGGTCCTGAGTTATAAAAACGACCTATATGGAAATGTAGGAAAAGAAAATACGTACTTTTAGAATCTGAATCTATTACAATTATCATAGCCCTGATTACAATTTAGTAATGAGAAAATTTTAAGATAGAATTGTTTATCCATAAGTTTCTTCTCACTTCCCAAATTTAAGAGATACTTGGGGGAGTGGAGAGTTCCACTAATTCACATTATAATGAAAAATCCCAGGAAAAAAAATGGCATATTTGTATCTAAAACAAAGTGTTCCTTATGACTGGTCTTCCTGTGAATTATATGGAGAAATAACTTAAGATAAGAATTATAACCAACTTAATTACATGAATTATATGAAGAAACAACTTAAAATCAGGTAAGTGGGGAAAAAAGTCAGTCATTTTAGATTAAACTAAGTTGTTAAAAATGTGAAAGCAAAAATATACGGAATTAAAAGAACTGGCATTTCAAAATTATATCCATTTCAATAAATATAAATATCAAATTAAAACAACACATTGTGCACTTTGAATACAGACAATTTTTACTTTACCTCAAAAAAAAAAAAAAAAGAAAGATAAGAGTGCTACTTTTATACCAAGTTAAGAACAGTGTTCTTTCAGTGAATGAGTGTATTAAAAATAGAGAGAGGAAGAACTGTCTTGGGATGAAGAGTGTTTTGTTCCACTGTGGAGCTTAGATGAATGGAATTCATTTCCTATTATGTGCCTCCCAATATCTGCATGCTTCACAGCAACCAGCTCAGTTGATAATAGACTCATCTTATAGATGAGAAATGAATATGCAAAGAGAATAGACATTTTACCCAAGTCCTAGGATTTGAGCCTGTATCGTCTAATTCTTCTTCAATATGTCCTGCTACATTAATTAAGATCTCTGATACTTATTACATGAGTGATCTTAGACAAACTTTTTCAAGTTCTCTGAAAACTACATAATAGGTATAAATAAGACCAAACTCTTAGGGCTTTTGTGAGAATTCAATGTGATACAAATAGGTGCATCATAAACAAATCAGAAAGCAACAAACAGGTTATTCTTATAACTCAGGACCATCAACTTAGAGCCAAATTCTATCAGGTTGAAAAATAAATAAGGCTGAAAATCCACAGGATTTGTGATACCAGTTCAAAATATAGGCCTTGCCTTTAAACCCAATAGACGCCCAGTAAAACATTTACCAAATTAAGAAAACCTCACTCCCCATTCTTAATGCCAACAACTTGCATTTGTGCTTGCTGGAGGGGCTTGCATTCTATCCTAGATGTATCATCACCCCATACAGGTGATATGGCATATGGCACTGCAGATGGATATTGCTGATAATTTTTGCAAAATCTAGATTTTTTTTCCTCCTTACTGAAAAGCTAAGATAAGTTGTATGTTTTTCAGCAATTAAAATAATGAGAGCCCTAGTTACTAAAATATAAAAATGTCAGCTCACTTATAACCTGGAGCCATGAGTAGCCATGTCTATCTTTGTGGTTTATAAAATTAATGAGCATCTCTGTCCCTGTGGCATGTGCCCTCAGAGAGTCAGCCACAGAGATGCTTCCTAGACATGTTGCTTTGGACTTGTCCATTAAAGCAGGAGACTAGAATCATTGGGGCTGTGATTTATTGACATTTGCTAATACCAACCATTTTATGATTCCCTTCTCCACCATGTAACCAATGTGTTTTCACTTAAGGAGTAATGTAAGCACACATTGGTTTCAACATGTAGCTTTAGATTTCATTCCAGTCTCAAAACTGAAGCCCTGAATAAATTCTGGAAACAACGAGCGCATCATGGGGAGGCTCACCTACCCGCACAGAAGGCTTCTACTGCAATACCGATGATCTATTATTTGCTGGATTTCTATAATCTGAATAGAAGTAATGGTTGTATCAATCCCTGAATTGAGAAGAAAAAGAAAACAAAGTAAACTCTTGTACAGGGAAAGAGGACTGTGTACCAGCATAGTCCCCAAACTGCAGAATATAAAATAAGAGTTTCCCAGATAAATGGATTCTATTTACATTCAAATGGAAAAAGGAGGAGGAGAAGGGTCCAAGATTTGTTTGTTTGTTTTTTGGGATAGTAAATTTTAAGAAAGCCTATAAAAATACAGGCTCCAGTAAACAGCCTCCATAAGATACAGAAGAATTTCTGGACCATGGAAATCCTACTAAGTCCAAATTTTGAAAATGAAGATGAAACATGAAACACAATTCGATTCTGAAAACAGAAAAAAAAAACTAAAAATATAGTCAGAATAAAAGAAGAAAATGAGAACTTCAAATAAATTATTTAAACCCACAAAGATCAACCACAATTTGTCTGCTGGTGGGTGATCATTATTAATGCCTCATTATTGGTCAAGTTAGCATCGATTACAGAAACCTAGCTCCATGGGTATGTGCAGCGGATGGGTGTGTGGCAGGTGGGCTACAGCCTTTGTTCCTGTTTCCCACTCCAGTAATGCTTTTACAGCTCATGATTCTACCTGGCCCCACAAACCAAAAAGAGTGTCATTTAAATGTCAACTTACAGTCACTCTGCCAGTCAGAGCGGATGAGCTCATCTCTTACCGGGAACAAATTGCTTTTTTCTTCTAAAGAGGAAAAACATCTGTCAGTCTAGAGGGTTTGTTCAGGATGAGAATAAACCCTGTAAGCCCTAGTTTGTCTTTATAAGTTGAATGTTTTCCCACCCTCTCTCTGTTTTGAGTTGAAATGCCCATTCCTCCAATCGTATATTCTAACCCCATTTCCCAAAATGTGACATTATTTGAAGATGGAGCCCTTAAACAGGTGATTAAGTTTAAATGAGGCTGTTAGGGTGGCCTAATCCAATCTGACTAGTGTCCTTAAGAGCAGATTAGGACAAACAGGGAGACACCAGGGCACTCATGCCCAGAGGACATAATAAGAAGGCAACCATTTGCAGGCCAGAAGCAAGATCTCAGAAGAAACCAGACCCTCAGACAAGATCTTGGACTTCAAGCCTCTAGAACTATGAGAAAATAAATCAAGGGTAATTTATGTGACAGTAGCAAACTAAGACACCATCCCACGTTGACTCTGTAGCTCACAGCTCCCTCCTTTTTAATGCCATACCACATTTTACTGCATAATTGTCGCAGATTTTATACCAAACTTTTTGGCAAAAAAAGGTACAACCACTATGTGAAGCTTAAAAAAAATTGTGCCAGTATTACTTAAAAATCATTTATTACTAAACCGGCTTTGGTACAAGATTAGGATGCACAGAATACTCATGAATATATGTTAAAACTGAATAGTCCAAATCAATGCACATCATTTCTTTATAATTTTCTGGTCTAAAAAAGGAAAAAAAAGTTAACACATTAGTTGTTATTGATGTGCTGTATTGTTGTCAAAATATTACATTTGAGAAAATTTACAATAGTGCTGTGAAGTGTGGACTTACAAAACTTAATCTTCCGTGTCAGAAGATTCTGCACCATTGTCTTTGGTTTGGTTTTCTGACATCATCACTTGAGTAAATTGGGTCTACCATTGGTACCAGCGCACAAGTCAGCTTCCGGAAATACACTGACAATTTTTAGACTGAAAAAGTAGGTGCAACATTTATGCAGTGGCGACAATTATGCGGTGAAATATGGTAGCATTTATTACTGAACCACCCATGTGGCCATCAATTAGTGATGTATCGGTCACTATACTCAAGTGCATTAGACTTAAGAGTATCTCAGTATTTTCACTTAACTTTTTCTTTTCTTTTCTTTTTTTTTGGTCCTTTTTTGACCACTTCAGAATGGGGAACCTCTATTAATACTCTGATCCTCTGAAGCTCCTGGCACAAGGTCTTGCTCATATTGTGTATATTATGTAAACCAATTTTCTCTGATTAATAATAAGCTAATGTTAGTTTTATTATTTAGTTTCTGATCAGTAGTGTTGATAATCAAAATCATTAAATACAGATTTCTGGGGGGGGTTTCGTGTACCTTAGTGTTACCATCTCAGGATTCTACTTTTCTGCTCAATTTTCAGGGAAGGGGCTCATTATAAACTCTGGCAATAGAACTACAGATCCACCTTGCTTCCACTGAGCTGTGTTTTCAGGTTCTTGGAGACAGAGACCCCCTATAAATAAAATTTAGAGGAGCTGGGGTTGTGGCTCAGCAGAAGAGAACTCGCCTAGCACATGCGAGGCCCTGGGTTTGATCCTCAGCACCACGTAAAAATAAATTAAAAAAATAAAGGCATTGTGTACAACTGAAAAAAATATATATTTTTTAAAAATTTAGAATCTGATAGGATAAAGTATTTTTTTAAACAGGAATAAAACAGTGAGGCTCAGAAGAGATAATATTACAGATTACAATTATGAAAATTGTTTTTCAAAAGTAGAAAATAAATTTTAAATCCTCTAAAAACATCTCCAAATTGTTACTTCTCTGGAGCAAGACTCTTCAACTCTGAAAGGCTGGTTATGGGAAAGCTATAAATCTTCCTGGAGTCATAGGAATACTCTCAATTTACAAATGTCTTCCAGCAATATTCACTTTGAGCTTACCATATATTCCCAGTGATTTTCATTATAAAATTGGAGATATAATTCACAATTGGCAGCTGAGACCTCCCCATAAACTAAATTAGAAACTTATGCAGACGAGAGATTTAAGATGGTGTTCAACCAAAGTATATTCTGCCATGGTAGAAGGTGGATATTGTACTCCTCATAAAACTCTGTTGATGGCTGAGTTCCAATATAGCATCTTGGATATCCTTCTTTTGTCCTGTTAAGTCAGATTCGTATTAAGAAGAAGTCAGGGACTGGAGATTTAGCTCAGTGGGTACAGTGTTTGCCTCACATGCACAGGGCCACGGATTTGATTCCCAGCACCACAGAAAAAAAAAAAAAAAAAAGTCCATGAACCCACCAATCAGTTGCTGAGTCCTTTAACACAGAAGGCCATTTTCTTTTGGCCATTTGCTCTTCTCAGAGTTCTGGTCTCAAAAATAAAATGTGCATGAATTCCAGATGTCTTTTGATTTTTTTTTTTAATCTCATCAACTCTTGCAATCTAGAGAATCCCATAGATTTTTTTTCCCCCACAGGATCTTTGCTTTTTAATATCCAACTCTTCTGTCTATGTAAGTCTTTATTGATTCCGTGGATTAAAATAAAATCCATTGCATTCAGTTGGTTCCTCAGAGTAGAAGCTCAATATTATAAAATACTTTCCAAATCCTGACTAGTCTTACCCAAACCTTTAACTAAGTGTGTGTGGTAGAGGTAAGACCAGGGCAAGAGGGCAAAGATAAGTTTTCTGAAGACTTCACACAGACTTCCACAATCAACTTAGAACCAAAAGAAAAATAATACCTTAAGCTCATCATGTCATAAAAATGCTGATTTCTTCTCACTTATTTTATTTGTAATCTTGCTCCTCAGGGAGAAGTTTGATAATGTGCTTTGGGGCTCAGTAAACTGTTAGATATTACTCTGCATCCCACTGAGAGCTTTTCTAAAGTTCTTTTTTATTCCTTGAATTTCTTTTTTATTTTTGTTTCTTAATTTTTAATTGGTCTTTAATGTTTCAGAAACATCTGGTTTGGAAATAATAGTTGCCTGACTTTCTCTTCTTTTGTGTTGAGGAGCCCCACAGTTATACAGTGCCATGGGAAGAGGGGAAATAAGTACCAGCAGCAGAGCAAATATCCTTTGCTCAGACCCTCAAAATACCCTGCTTCTGGGACATTTCAATGGGCATGGGCAAACTTGGAGGGGAAGAGAACACAGCAGGAGCTTTCTAGAACCATAGAGTAGGTACTTTCTGCATCTTCTAGAGTTAATCTCAGTTACGTGTACAACTTGTATCCAAATAAATGGAGGTAGGTTGGTGAATGGGAAGCAAACCAAGACATGGAAATAAGGGAACCAGATTCCAGTTCTGACCTTGCTCGTTACTGGGGAACCTTTTGTCTGTTTGTTTATTTCTGGTTGGATTTCAAAATTTTTTAAATTGACACATAATAATTGTCCATATTTATGGAGTACAGTGTGATGTCGCAATACATGTATACAATTTGTCATGATCTGATCAAGGTATGATATATCCACCACCTCAAACATGTATCATTTCTTTGTATCGGGAACAATCAAAATCTTTCTACTCTCTTTGAAATATACAACTAAACATGGTCAACTGGGGAATCTGAAGCCAGATCCTTTGCCTCCATTTTATCAGCTGTAAAATGGGTAAGTTAACATAAATCAAAAGTTCTTCTGATCTGAGGCCTTTGAAACCCTAAGGGATTCTATAAAAGGTCTATGATATTGTCTGTGGACATCTCTCCCATAAATTTGTCAAGTAGTTGGATTAATAAACATAATTCAATTCAATACTTAACTGGATATATAGTTACATGTCAGGAGCAGTGAATGAATTATGGGTCTTTGAACTGTCCAAAGACCAAGGTGGACACCTCCCTTAGGGAACTGTTTGGTGCAAAAGCACCCATCCAAAACCACCCAGTTGGGTGGTGATGCCCTATTCAAAGAGAAATTCCTTGCTAGCCAAGGAATTTTACTAGTTCATAACCTTGGGCTAAAATATCTGCAGCCTGGAGGTAGAGAATTATGGGCACAAGCTGATAAGTTCTAATTGGGCTGCTTCTACCCTCAGCTTCGATTCTGTTTATCTTGAAGAAGCTTTCTCATAATAAATCTTTCTGATGTTTAAATCTATATAATAAAGGTGCCAAGCTTGCTCATGGTCAGTTTCTCTCCACCAAGCCCTGATCTTTTCTCTACTTGTGTCTGTTGGTCTTTTTCCTAATCCTCTCGTCAACTGGTTCATGTAGTCCTGAATAAACTGTTGTGCCGGATGTGACAGTTGAATTTTTCCTATATGTTTTTCTCAATCAAATCATTGTAAAAGCATGTTAATAATGGCTCCACAAGGTCATAAAGATAGAATATCACTGGTCTATCTGCTCTCTGTCATCTGTGACTCTAAGTCCTTAAAAGTTTCCAGGTTCCCTGAAGATGAAAGTGAATCAAACATTTCAACTCTCTTTTTCTCCAGTTGAACAAAGGAAGAGAGAACAATTTTCCCAGTGTGTCAGGGAGCCTGGTAAGTTGAACTTAAATTTCATTTTTAGCTAGAGATGCTGCTAGTTCTGTCTAGATGAATATAGCCAGGCACCTTGGAGCAGATCTTCTTTCTTTAGGAATTTCTTTTTTTTTAATAATATATTTTATTTTATTTCATTTTTTAATATTTATTTTTTAGGTGTAGATGGACACAACACAATGCCTTTATTTTTATGTGGTGCTGAGGATCAAACCCAGGTCCTGCCTGTGCTGGCGAGTGCTCTACCGCTGAGCCACAATCCCAGCCCTCTTTAGGAATTTCCAAGATCAGCAGGCACTCATTGTCCCAGGAAGGAAAGCAGCAAATCTTTATCTGGTCAATAAGCTCAGTTCGCAATATTCTCTTGATGCCATTGCTACTTGGAGTGAACTTACAGGGTCAAAAACCCCTTTAAAATGAAGACTGGGCCAGTCCACATCCTCTCCTTATTCAGAATCCATTGCTATCCATACATCTTTCATAGGTGGGATGGTCCCTTCTAAGGACTGCTCTCAAAAAAAGGATATCAAGTGTCCCTGGTAAGGACACCCAAGGTGAGAAAAAGGCTTGCCAGCCACAAGTTTCCACATACTTTTCACAAGGGATGGAGGCTTTAGGAATGTTTGTGATAGTACTAGTTTTTTTATTTTTAATATATAAAAATATAAAGATGATGACGACTAAAACTAATTTCTTTCTTCAAAATGAAGCCTTATCTTCATTCTGTAATGATGTATCTGTTCAAATCAGTGTTTTCATGAGAAAAGCAGCACAAGCATTGCCTCTTATAGGTGCTGAGGGTGATGGGGAGGACTCTCTGCCTCGGCTTCCTCACTGGGAAAAAAAATGGGGACAATTACAGGGCCTGTCTTGCAGGTTTGAGGGGATTGATTGATTTTCTGATGCAAGTTGCCATGACACTAGAGTAAAACCTTCTTATGCCATAGTCATAGTGATTTGTAAGAGTTATTTATCCAAGACTAGGATATGAAATAATATCAAAAAGAAAGGAAATTACATTAGTGCCTCAAAACTTTATCCACTGACCATGTTCAGTGTGTCAGGTATTAGAACTGCCTAAAAATATTTTGGTTCATCTTCTCAGGCATGAGTTAGGTTTTCATTTCCCCATCCATTTTTAAATTAGATAGGACTAATATGACTTGCTTTGGCCAATAAAGTGTGAGTAGAAGTGATGTGTGTTGTGTCTGGGTGGAAGCTATGAATGCCAGTGTACAACATGACCTGTTTTCTTACTACTACAGAGATTGTGGGAATGTGTACTGAGATGGAATCTCCATCAGCTAGATCCTGAATGAATGATGACCCAGAGCCCTCTTTTGATCCACATTTGAAATACAGAGTGAGTCAGAAAGAAATTCTTTCCACATGGAGACACTACTATTTGAGTGTTGTTGTTTTGACAGCATCCTAATAAGTAAGCCATATTAATATGTACTGTTAGAAGCATTATTATTGATATTATTTTAGATATTTATTAATATGCATATGGGAGACTTCAAAAATAATAATTTAGTATAAATTTAGAAGAATTGCACTTGATCTTACAGAGATAATAACACCGATAATCCTTGATCAAGTTTCTATAATTTTTTTTAACTTGAAATACAACTGTTTGTGTGTAAAAGTAAAAGGAAGAAGGTTCTCTGAATGTAGAATGCCAACCTTGTTTTTCACTATCTTAGAGCCTGCCCTAAAAACTCTAAATTAGAGTGACCAAAGTCTCTCAATATTTTGCCATAGTCTGCTTGGACAGAGAGCCCAAATACCACACCAATTTTTAAGTCCTAAATGAACCAAAATTTCAACCCACATTGCATATAATTATTTCACTTGGAGTGAACTTACAGGGTCAAAAACCCCTTGAAAATGAAGACTAGACCAGTCCATGGCTACCATCCAAGATGGCTACTATACCATCTTAGCCAGCAACAGGCAAATGAGACCCTTTCCACTTGGTGAAAATGATAAAGACTTGAATCTACCAAAATGTCATCCCTGAACAAGGAACTCAATATTATTGACGATTGCCAGTTTGGGTATTTGCATTTTGAAAGATTTTGCCACTCCAAACAGGAGAGCGAAACTATATCCGGAAGCATTAACAGACATCCAAGTAGATATTGACCAGGGAAGAAACCTGGAGTTCAAAGCCCTCCTTGCTTCTCTTTTAACATCATTTACCTGCCCCTCGCCTCTGCTGGATTTTCTTCTCCTCTTGGGATTGTCTCAGCACAGGACTCTTCATTGCCCAGATGGGGCAGCAGTAAGTTTCCTGGCAAGGCAGGATCTCACAGAAAGTAATTTCAGGTACTTGTAAGGAGGTCTGTGTGGTTGCCAGTGATGTAGGAAGCACTGCTGGGCATGTAGCAGAGGGGAGGGAAGCATCCACGTTAACCGTTAACCAAAAGGCGGGTTTCTTGTATTGACATTTCACATGCAAGACAGGCTGAGTTTGACAGTGAGGAATGCAAAGACCTTACCTGAGGGGGAGACTGTGGGTGGCAGAGTTGCCTCCTGAGAGTTTGTTATATTGCTGGAAGAGAATGCAAGGATTAATGAGACAGACCTTCAAGAATCCTTCTCCCAAAGGAATATAAGATCTGAACTCTCACCTTGGAGGGAGATCTGGGACACGCTGGTCTTGATCTTTCAAGCTAAGTATGTAAAGGGAGACTATCATCAAAGCACTGTTAAGAGAGGGGGAAAAAAAAGCATTATCTGAAAGATTTGTTTCCATATATATCTCACACATCCAGCTGGCCAAAGATGTACTCTCACAGGCCACACAGATGGGCACGAGGGGGAGGGGCAGCCATAGCTGACAAAAACACCATGGAAACCAGCATAGTTAGGCTTTTCTGCCCTGGTGAGAAAAAGCCCGGGGCTTCCTGCCACTCAGAGGCTCCTGGGGTATCCACACTGATGGATTTTTCCATAGAGCAGCTCTGACAAGCTGTCTCAGATGCGGCTGTCACTAGTGGAAGATTACAAGAGGAAGCATGTAAAGAGCAGGAGGCAGCCCTTGGCTCCTTGCAGGGAATAGCCAGGGCAAAGTTCACTTCCTGCTGGTGAAGACCATCTACCTCAAAGTACAGGGAGATGGAAGGAGGCACGGGTGTAGCCAGCTGTGGAGGCCAAACCCTTTGACCACCTTTGACTTCTTCCTGCTGCCTGTCTTTCCACATCCAAATTGGGCAGAGAAAGGAAAAGAAATGTCTTAAGCACCCATTTCCACACTGACTTCGAAATAACAAAGGTGCTTTCCCCTCCAATTAGTAGAACTTGCATATCCAAATGGAAGGCTTCCCTGAAGGGTCTAGGCTCTGGGACACTATACCAACAATGCTCACGCATCCAAAGACTTTGGGTTCTCTTTGAGGGCTATTTCCAGCATTCTCAAGAGCCACACAAGAAAGTCTACTGATGTCTTTTCAGTCTCCATTGTGTACTTTTCTTGAAGCAGGGTCTACTGAATTGACTTCTTGCCAACTTGACTTCACACCTGGTTCTCCAAACTTGGCCAGCAGTTTTCCCGGGTCATAGAATGAAATTGACATCTGCTCCTTTCTTTGGGGTAAACCCTGGTTCAGACTCTTCTCAGGTACACCACAGGCCAGAAACAAGAAGCCAAATACCTCCCACTCATGGTCTTAGTGGTCAACAATATTGGAATTCATAAGATCCAACAAATATGTTTTAAAAGCAGTCTCTTCACCTCTAATTAGGTTTCCTATCACCTTTCCACTGGGCTGACCATGGTAAGTGTGTCTGTTCCTGAGTTGGAAATCCCAGGAGAAGACAAGCACTTGGGAGAGTGAGAAACCTGTAAAGGCACTTAATGGGGATTCTGTATAGTAGCATCAAATTCTTGGGCATCTTTCGTAGTGGGCAGTACCAAGTCATGCTAAGCTGGAGGTGGAGCTCAGGGTTCAATCCCCAGTACCCGCCCCCCCCAAAAAAAAAGAGAGAGAGAGAGAGTGAAATGCTGTGGGGAGCAAAGGGCACAAAGAGATCTGCTGGGAAGCTTCTTTAGATTAAGAAACTGGAAAAACCTTGGGGCCTTTGCTTGCTTTCCCTCTGAACGGTTATCTTCCCTAAGACAAGGCCCAGTCCTTTCCCACACTCACAAAGCATTTTTTTTTTTTCTTTCACCATGTGAATAGTCAGACTAAAAACAAAAAAGGAGTATTCAAAGGCCCAGAGAACACAGGCAAGATGACCAGTAATCAAAGGCCAGGGGGCCACTGGGGCAGTAGCAGGAGGCTGGAGACAGGCTTGAGCAAGCACCCTGCATCCCAACAAGGGATTCCTCCCACCTCCGAGCAGAGGGACAGTGGTCAAAAGCCATCCAGCTTGCTTAGCAAACACTGTCATCCTTACTGCTTTCACTTGATTCAACTGCTCAGGAGATTTGGCCATACTTTGATCACGCTGGTTGCCTTTTTATACATCTTGGTAACCCTTTGGTTCACTGTGTTCACTGAAAAATCCAGAAGTTCTAATGATCATGGGTAACCAGAGAGAGTAGATTACAGCTGATTTCCTACACTCCTCTTCCCCATATGAGAAAGTTATTTGCAAAGCTAAGAAAAACACACAGACACACACTAAAGAACGTGCTGCTAAAACATAACAGTTGATAGAAAAAATACCTGTCATCCTTCAGCTCATATTTAATTGCAGAAAGCCAGTGCTTTCTTCTCAAAAATATGAATTTTAAAGGGGGCTCCCTCACTCTAAGCTATTGAAGGTCAGTGCCTAGTTTTAAGCCCTCCTTCCTTGTCTGCCAAGTAAATTAGGTCAGTACCCAGCGCACATGTGAGAAAAGAAAGATGAGAAGGAAAAGAAGACTTGACATAACATAACATCGAAGTTTTTCTTACCAAAATGCCATCACAGCAATGAGAATTATAACCAAGGTCTGGAAAACCCAGCTAGGACAAAACTGTTTTTTTCCTGAAAAATAAACCTACAAAAAAGTTCATTAATGAACAGTGATACATCAGCACATGAACTGTAAGGAGGAAGCTGGAAGAGCTGCTCCCAGCAGGGGTCTTTGACACCACCCCATCCCCACCCCCACTCGCCTCTCTGAAAACAACTTTGATTCAAAGCCCAGCCCCAGGCCCTCCCTTCCCTTCCAAGCTGCAGAATTCTCCCTTCCCCATACCCTGCAGACAATAGTCTATGCCATTCATTAGGCACTTATTCTTGCAGTGTTTCCAGAGAAGACCACCTATATGACAAGACACTGTGAGAACCCAAACGTCCATCTTTTACTAGAATACGTTTAAAAATCAAAGTATCTTCAGGATGAAAAGAAATAAATCCCCACCAAAGAATTTCAGGCACCATGACAGAACATGAAAAAGATTCTATGGCATAAAACCCAACTAAGCTCTCCAATGAGCTCTCTCATTGGTATCTAATTCTTCTGCCTATTTATAAGGGGACAACTCTGGACCTGTGTCTTATTTATTCTTACATCTACCTATTCAACACATGTTTTTGAGCTCTGCTATGTACAACACTATAGGAGATATTAAAATCAGTAAATTACAGAGCTGGGATGGTGGCTCAGCGGTACAGCGCTCACCTAGCACATGTGAGGCCCTGGGCTGGATCCTCAGCACCACATAAAAATAAATAAATAAAATAAAGATATTGTGTCCAACTACAACTAAAAAATGAATATTAATAAAATAAAATAAAATAAAATCAGTAAATTACAGAGTGAGACAAACCTTAAAGACTGATACATGTTGACATAAAAACTTGTGTACAAGGAATGGGTCGAGAATTACAGGATTGACAGCTGAGGAACTGGTAGGAAATCCGGCTGAGAAGTTCTCTGCCCATTTAATAAGGTGCCCATTAAATATGAGTTTCCTACCCTGTATCCCCAGAAGAAAGATAATGTATAATACTCGCTTTGCACTGGGAATTATGAATAGGAAGCTCACATTTCAGTTGCAAGCATATTGGAGAGTGGAGACAATTAAGAAATAGCTTCAATTTGGTCTTAGGTTGAATTTCTTGAGCTTGTTATCTGATTAAAGAAAACATTCTTGGGGCTGGGGATGTGGCTCAAGCGGTAGCGTGCTTGCCTGGCATGCGTGAGGCCCGGGTTCGATCCTCAGCACCACATTCAAACAAAGATGTTGTGTCCGCCGAAAACTAAAAAATAAATATTAAAAAAAAAATTCTCTCTCTCTCTCTCTCTCACTCTCACTCTCTCTTAAAAAAAAAAGAAAATATTCTTCAATGTAAAAAGGTGAGGTTAACTATACACTTTTCAACAAGTACACAAACCCTTTGGATTATTATAACTGAGTCATCCATTTGGCCCCTGGAAGTTAGTCTGAATATCAAAAAGTCAATGGTATATTCCATTCCTGTGTCTTAGTGGAACTGTTCTGGGTATGTCCTAACAGTATGCTGTATTATTGTTAAATTAAGTAGTATTATCCTACTCTTCACGGGGGCTTGGTTATTTTAAATCTCCATAATTTTCTCAAAATTCTTTAACCAAGCATAGGGAAATAACCCAAGACCTGAAGTCCAACTTGGAGTCAATCCTGAACAAGTCATCTAAATGTCATTGATCCTCATTTTCCTTATCAATAATAAGACAGGAATAATAAAATAATATATGCCAATATTTTGGAGTCATTGGGTGGGTCCAATTAACAATGTAATGTTCTCCAATTCAGATGTGTGTAAGAATTACTATTAAAAACCTAAAGGCCCTGGAAAATTCTGTTTAAACAGGCCTCATCCAAAAGGGGGAGGGGCTGGGATTCTATGGGAAGTAAGATAATTGAAATATTTATCTGTGGCTATTTCTTCCCTCTTCCCTTCTCCTCCACATACTTTGAATTCTAACTTGAATTCTTAAGTCCTTCCTACCTCACCCCACCCTAGCTCTTGGAGGTGCACCTGCCTAGCTCTTGGAGGTGCAGAAGAGAGGAACAGAAGAGCAACTGGATGGTGCTAGATCAGGTGACCTCAAGCTCTCTCCAGAATGGGTCTTGGCCAGCACGGGGAGCAATGTGGAAGTCGAGGCCCCTCCCAGCTAAGCTTCTTACCATCTGGTAAGGCCCATCAACTGCTCACAGAAAGCACTTTGCTTATTAACGTCCCCACCAACCCAAGAGTACCACTCCCCACCCCACATGTATTTCAGTGACCCAATAACTCAAGGAGGCCCCAAGGAAGAAAAGTCACCTAGTGGGTTGGTGATGGCCTAGAAGGGAGAGTCAACTTCACAGACACGGCTGAGATGTCCTACCAAGACATCACAGGAGGAGCAAAACATTCCCCATTATTTGTACTTTATTAAATTCCCTGGGTGAGTCTGCTACACACAACATATGAGAATCTAGAACAGCAGGTCTGAACACATCAACTTCAGTGAGCACGTGTCCAGCACTTTCTACGATCCACGCGCTCTTCTGAGTGCTTTGCAGACACCAATGCCCATATCCTCACAAGCACCCTTGATAACCCTGTGAGGCAGCTATATTTATCATCCTAATTTTGGAGACAGGGAAAAGGAGGCACAGGAAGGCTAAATGCCTCACCCCAAGACCACACACTAATAAGTCACAGAGCCAGGATTTGAATTTTTAAAAGCCAGCTTTACAATCTGTGCTCTTAAACACAATGCTATGCTGTCTCCATTTTTCTGTCCCTAAAAACAAAAGGAAACATTTTGCCACTGTTGTTATTATCTGAAAAGTCTTCATGGCTTATTGAATGTACTAACCCTTCCAGTGATCCAGGAATTCTGAGCCTAAAATATATTTTTCAGACTTATCTTCACAATCCTCCTTAACCAACTCCCACCTAGTCCTTCAGTGAACCCAGTTCCAGCTCCCAGGGTTTGCTTCTGCCATTCCATCTGAAACCTCTCCTACAGATCCATTGCTGTTGCCCAAACATACTGTCTATGAAGCCAGGCTCTCATAATATACTCAGGGCAGTGTCCTGAGCCTCTGCAACTTTTATCACATCCAGCTAAAACCATTCTTTTTATTTTCTCCCCATCTCCCTGAGTGCCTTGTAGTTCCTTAGAAGAAGAGATCACATCTGACTTATCTACTACCAACTGGCCTCTTAGAAAAACTGCAAGAATCAAAGAGTTTGTCCACACCCCAACTCCCACCCCATCCATACATTCAAAACACTCAATCATTTTATGCTTTTAATTTAAATTGTGAACCTTCAGGGAATACCCTCAGACTGAACTTTCCATTCATGTATTCATCTGGCAAGTATTTCTCGAGCCACTAATATGTACTTGTCCCTAAGGACACAGAGTGAGGAAGGTGAACCCAGGACCTACTCTCATGGACATATATAACATTCTGAGATAACCACAAAATAAGGAGAAGCTTTGAGTGTTAAGACGGGAGCTATAGAGATTGCAAGTAACCAAACTGTACCTATAAGGACTGTCCTGGATGTAGATATTATTTCCTCCATTCTTTTTGCAAATTAGTTAGTATAAAGGGGCACTTTTCCCACATGTTTTTAGTGCTTTGTGTTTATAGAGCAATATGTACCTAGCACCTATTTAGCACATTTAATCCTATCAAAGATCTTTGTAAGGTGGAGACTAGAATTATGTTTCTCAATTTGATTAAGTAACTTGCTCAGAATGTGTGTATGTGTGTATAAATGTGTATATAAATACATTTACCCATGTATTTATGTTTATTGGTACACCAAGAAGCTTGTCAGCAGTATAATAATTTAATAGTTTTTAGAAGAATTGTAAAATACTTCTGAGTCCTTTTATAATACTTCAACACAGTATAGCAAGGGGAGTAGAGAGTGAGCTGAAGCAGTGGCCTGAACATGGGGTCAGCCTTTAACAGGGCATATCTTCCCTGGCAAGCACTACCTTTGGACCAGTGGTGGATAAGGGAGGAAGCTGAATTTCACAGCTTTCTGTGAATTGCACGGAGTAGAGGAGTAATTTAGGAGGGGACTAAGCTACTGGCTCACAGGTCTCTGATGGAGAGGGCATCCTTCAAGTCAATACACAATTAACCTTCACTTTTTATTGGAAATATTATCTTACTTGATGTGAGTTGTCTTAATTAATGAAACCATCACATTTTAACCTTTGCAAGCAAGTGAATGCTATTCCCCCATTAACATATTTAGTATTAAATTTAGAAGGGAAAAGAGGGATTTGAGGATTAACTGAAGTCCCTTTGAGATCTTCATAAGGAACTAGGTGAGGTCAAGGCAAACACATAGATTTTATAGCCTATGGCCATTTTCAAGTAGGGGCTACTGAGTTTTGCCTGACCAGGACAGTATAAACAAAACTGGCCAAATCATATTTCTGAAATAGACATGTTCTACATTCTTTTTTCTCAACTTCTACTCTTTTAAAAAACAGTTAATATCCATTAAAACATTAGTATGAATGACCATTGGTACAAAGACCTAAAGTATATGAGATACAAATTAGAGAATTCCACCAGCAAATAAATAAATGGGAGGAAAAATTCTTGATCAATTTCTCTAAAGACTTTTATTTCATATAGAAAATATCACCTCTGTTATTATAAATTTAAAAATATTTACCTTGTTGGATTTTTTGGGAATGGCCCTTCTTGGAGAAGATGTACTAACAGCTCTACTAAATTTGCTTTAAAAAGAGAGAGAAAGATTTGATTACTATTCAAATGCCTCTCCAGGAGTTATATGACAAAGGCCCAGGCTGTCTCTAACACATCAGCAGGACTTTCTTTTGTAATGCAGTAATAACTTGAAAAGAGAAAAGTCAAAGCAGTTGGGCTGGTCGGGGTGGGAGGGTGGCACTTGTAAAAAAAAAAAAAAAAAGCAACCTTTGTGAGCATAAATGAATGCATTAAGAAATACATTTCTCTTTTCCTCAGAAATAGATCTCAGAAAATGTGCATTTACTTCCTTGAGTAATGAAAACAAAGAATAAGAAGTTTTTCCCCTGTGGACGAACCTTGGTGTTCTAAATTTGGAAATAACCACCTCTCTTCATAAAGGAGAAGCCATCCTTCTGCTAAAATTGAGCACTTCCTATAACGAGCGCTAGTAAACAGATGGCTCATGTTTTGTTTGATTTTTAAAGCAGCAACAGAAAAAAATAAGAAAAGTATCACATAAGGCCATTGTGTTCGAAAACACTCTAAGGGAAAAATAGGGACTTCGTGATCAGAAAGCAATGATTGCTGCTTGATTGAAAGACCGATCTTTATATTGATGTAGTTATTTAAAGAGCCCACTCTCTCCTTCCCCCAAATTTTAGTGGACACACTGGACACACCTGATGGAACTCGCTTCACTGGCTGATGTCTTGAAACTACTGAGTCGCTTTAACCTGGCCAACTTCCTGTTCCATATTTCTAATTCTTCTATTCTTTCTTCAAGGTTGTTGGTTAGTTTGCAGAGCTGCTTCACAGCTCCTACATTTTCCATGAAGATCTGGTCCTAAAAAAGGGAAATGATACAAAATACATAAAGATACAGTTTCAGGCCACCAGGTAACTGTCCATATCTATCCTAAGACAGTCAGAACACCCTGTGGAAACGGTTATTTACCCACAACTTCAAGTTCATTCTAGATAAATCTGGAGAGGTTTGAAACTGAAAGCAGTCTGCTAAACTGTTAGCTGTGTAGTAAAACTGCTTCTGTTCAATTTGCAAAAAATGGAAATATGTCCTTGTAACCTAAGAGAGAATGGAGCTGAAGGACGTTGTCAAGTTCAAGATCCGAAGATTTATTTTCAATAGCTATTATGCTATATTTAAAAGTCATAAAAAGAGTCAGAACAGTCTTCCGAATGTTGATTTGTGTGTTCACCACTAAATCCCCATAAGAAGTAACTCCAACTCTCTCCCTAGTAAAATGTTTATCCAATTGCTGAGGCAAAGCAGGGAGGAAGAAAGACCTGTGCTTTTCTCGAAGTCCTGTCTGAAGGGAAAGCTAGAAAGGAGAGACGGTAAGGGAGAAATGAAAGACAGAGACCAGGCAGAGATACATAGCAGAGTTTATTTGTCAGAGCTGACAAATATAGGCCATCTCTTTATAGTGGGAGAGGGGCAAACAGGCTTGGGTTCCAGGACTTATGGGGTAGGCTCAGGAATCAGAGCCAGGCGGGTCCTAACACAGGCCTTGAAGGGTTGGGTTGGTATGAGGGAGTGGGGAATCTTTCTCAGAAACACCCCTGGGCGGGAAAGTGAAACTTTTTCCTTAAAATGGCAGTTGTCACTTAGAATGGGCATCCAGATGCTAAGCAAGGAACTTATACTGCCACCTTTTGTAGAGGTGAGGCCCCAGGTAAAATGTAATAAGCTTCTTTCTCTGTGAGAGGCTAAGTCTTGAGTTAAATGTCTGCTTTAACCTCTCAATCACTATCATGAACAATTTGCATTTTAACCGAACTCTCAAACAAGATTAAACACACACACACACACACACACACACACACTCTTATTCTAGTTCCAAGAAATACACTTACTCATCAGAAAGAGAAAGGAGAGACTGCCAAACCAGAGAACCCAGGCCATCCTCCCCAACACCTAGATTCTTCAGTTGTCATAAATATCTGTCTCTCAGCCACACACAAACAAAAACTGGGACATTCTTGTCAGCTGGCATCCTGACACCCTGATATCTCCTCTGCCAAAACATTCTTTGCATCTCTAAGAGGCTAGTCCACTGCCTAAAGAAATGAGCCCCAGGCCAATGGCTCTAGAGTGGTTGTGGTTGGGAGGTCAAACTCAGGGCTGCATGTTTTTGAGATTCTCATTGCGTAAAATCAAGCTTAAGGGGAAACACTCTGGGAAGCTATCGGTCAGAGTAGAATCAAAAGCTGAACCTTACAGATCTAAGGCTTAGTTCATGTGGCTTAAAGACAGGTAGGTCTTGTGAAAGCGTTGGAGACTCTTAAAGTCCCAGAGTCACAGAGCTCTAATAGAGCCCCATGTCTCCATGCCTGGGGTCTGAAACCGTTCCTAATTCTAGTAGTTACCTTTGTTAGAGATGTCTTTCTCAAGGCCAGTCTACATCCCACTGTTGCCAGGACTTTCCCAGAGGCCACTGGCCAGAATACACCATTCTCTTCTACAGTGTCCTCAGAACATGTTAGATTTTGTCACTTGGCCATTTGTGGTGTCCAGGTGTTATGCGCCAATTTCCCCACTCAGTAGGAGTCTGTGGAGGGCAGCCATTGTGTTGATTATGCGCATGTCTCACCAGTACTTAGCACATGCCTGTGCCCTTGGAACACAGGAAAGTAAATTGAAGGGTGTACTGAGAGCTTGCAAAAAAAAAAAATAGAAAGTTTTCCTGTTTGGGAAGCACAATGGCTGAAAGCTTGATCCCTGAGGACTATGCTTAGTTTAAGAAAACTCAAAAAAATGAATAAATAAATAAAGACATCCCTCTGTTGAATTTTCAAAAGTTACCCCCAAACCTTTTATTTTTCCTGAAGTCTTATCAGATACCCTTTAACTATCCCCCCAAATCTTGCAAATTAATAAGATCATTATGGAGTGGAATTCAGCAGTATCTAACAAAATTACGTTTTTATATTTTAAGCCAGTAATCCCACTCCTAGAAATCTACTCTAGACCTCATCCCCTGGTGAAAGGTAAGAAGGAGGAGGAGGAAGAGGAAGAGGACAGACTAAAATCAACCCAATGTACACCAATAAGGGGTTTTTATAATAAACTGTGATACATTTACATAATAGCATATAATGGAACTGTTTGAAAAATAAATGAAGAATATTTCTATATACTGTTATGGGGCAAAGTATAGGATATACTATGGGTAGAAAACAACAGGTATAGAAAAGTGTGTATAGTATGCTACCTTTTGTTTAAAACAAGGGGAGGATACAAAAATATGCACAAATTTTCTTGCGTTGGAAAAAATGAAGGGTAAACCAAAAACTAATTTAAAATTCTTACACATAATGGGAAGGAAAAAATGAGGTGGGTGAAATGAATAGAATCCAGGCTCTCGGAATATACCTTGTTCTATAGATTTGCCTTTAGAATAATGTGAGTTTTGAAATAATTATGAAACATAATTAAACTACAAAACATCCTCTAAAAATAAAAAGCAAAAGCAAACAAAGGAAGCAATTTTGTATTGAGTTTCTGGATGAACCTCACAGAGAGGACTTATTTTAAGTGTCTTGAAAGCACAGTAATTTGTCTATTCTTAGTGCGATGTATCCCAAAAGAGGGGGGAAAAAGGAAGAAAGAAAAAAAAAACAGAGATCTTAAACTTTTCAATAATCATAGAGCCAGAAAAAATAGCAATGGATAATACACAAGCATACACTATACCCATTTATAACTGGATGAAACAAATACATAGCTAAGTTAATTATGTTAGAAACTGCAAGTTTTAACATTTTAAGAGAGAGATACAAATATAAAGCCAAACATTAAAGTAAAATTCTTTGCAATATTAAATTTAAGTTAGAAATATTACTATGAATTCCTGACACAGTCTATTTTTAAAAAGAAAACAAAAATCCCTAGCTATGTTCACAAAAAAAAAAAAAAAAAAAAAGAAAAAAAAAAAAAACATTTCCAACTACTAACAATGAGCACTCTCATGTGGTCTGTAAATATCATTCTTGCTGAAAGGAACCAGGACTCTGGGAAACTGGTGATTCCAGATTTGGGGTAGGAGCCGCGTGCAGTTAACCTGGAATGACTTACAACTGAGAAGGTAAGGGAACTACGAGAATCGAGAATCGTGAGGTTGTGTCAAAATGACTCCAGAGGCAACTGGAGAAAGTCCCCTGGGCTAAAGATGGGACATCAAAGGACCAATCACTGTAATAGATCAAAGAACCAAATGTGTTTTAAAAAGCATCCAAAATCCTACTCAATTTTTTGAAACATGTTATTTCTACCCTTTGGAGGATAGCAGAGGTTTAACTCATTTTTATGAAAGCTTATGAATAAAAGAAAGAGTGAAGCTTATCTTTCCTTTCCTGCATATCAGCTACCTATTTAATAAGAGAAAGTTCTTCATTTTAGAATTCCAGAGAATGAATAAAAAATGATTGTTATGGTTTAGATATGAGAGGTCCTCCAAAAGCTCATGTGTGAGACGAAAAAAAAAAGTTTAGAGGTGAAATGATTGGGTTATGAGAGCCTTAACTCAATCAGTGAATTAATCCCCTGATGGAGACGGGTCATTGGGGGTGTGCCCTTGGGGTATGTTATTTGTATCTGGCAAGTGCGGAGTCTCTCTCTGCTTCCTGATCATCATGTGAGTTGCTTCCCTCTGCCACACTCTTCTGCCATGATTCTGCCTGACCTGGAGTCCTGAATAATGGAGTTGCTATCTATGGACTGAGACTGTGAGCCCCAAATAAACTTTTCCTCCTCTAAAATTGCTCTTGTTAGGTCTTTTAGCCACAGCAGCAAAAAAAAAGTTGACTAAAACAATGACAGAGTATCAATATTTTCTGACTCTTAATAAAAAACAATGGATCTAGGCAATGATTCTCAATGGATGATAAAACCATAAGTATATGCTTGTTTCTTTGTTTCATGTATACATCTATAAAAACAATTGGGGAAATTTCAACAGTGACTGGATTTGATATTAAAGAATTCCTATAAGTTTTTTAGTATGATAAGTGATTCTGTTTTTAAGAGGTAGTTCTTCCCTTTTAGAAAAAAAATACTAAGGCATCTATAAGAATATGATATGATATTTGTGTTAGTCATCTTTTCATTGCTATAACAAATATACCTGAGAAAAATAAACTAATAAGGAAGAAAGGTTTATTGTGGCTCACAGTTTCAGAGGTTTCAAATCATGGTCACTTGGCCCCATTGCTTTTGGACCTGTAGCAAAGCAGAACAGTACTATGGTGGGAAAGTACCTGGTAGAGCAAAGCAGTTCAACTCACAGTAGTTGGGAGGGAAAAAAAAGAGGCAGGAAAGTGTTGAGGTCCCAATATCCCCTTCAAGGTCACACCCTTCAAGACCTAATGTCCTTCTGCTAGACCCTGCTCTCTAAAGTTTCTACCGCCCCTTGCCACCTGCCCCAGCCAAGTGTCACAGACTGGCGACCAATGGCCTCTGGAGACATTTAGGATCCCAACTTTAGCAACTTGGGAGTTCACTTTAAATAATCCAGCTGCTGGAAGAAGGTAGTCGGCAGGGAATTTAAATAATACAGGATTGGATGAGAATTTGTAACTAGAATCTGAGTGAGACATACCTTGGGATTTCATTACATCTCCAATTCTATATATATTTGAAATTTTTCACTAAAAAGGTTATTAACAGAAATAAATGCCAAAACATAGAAACAAAAATCTCCTGAAAAAAGTTCTTCTAAATGTTTGAATCCTGGTTCAAATTTTTCTTGACTTCTAAATTTGTTTTAATAAAAATAAGGCATAAATCATGAAGATAAGAACAGCAGTCTGTGATTCTAAATCATA